AGAACGCAGAAAAATGAAGACTGACAATGAGTAAAAAATGAACTTCCACACCTGCAGTGATTAATTTTTGGAAGTGAAATCTTTTGAACTACTAGAACCCTAACTTTACGCACTACTGCGCTTCTTATATTCATTGTACTGACTCGAACTGATTCAAATTCATTGCTTGCTCAACAGTTGAGTAATTGTATCATTAGGACACCTTTTGACTATCACTCGAAATGATCACTCAAGTTTTTGCAACGGTGATAGCTGATGCTCTCTGCCAAGCAAACGTTGCAGTGTGTCAATAAATGCTCTTCCTTATATACTATCAGCGCATTCAATCAAACCAACTAAATCTCCATCTCAAAGACGGAAATATGTCAGTGAATAAGATTGATGATTTCTACCACTTATGATTTAATTGTGAAGCAGTAAGCCATGCAGATATCTAATACATATGCGTTCATATCACGTCCATAAATCTTCCACTCTTCAAATCTTATATCTCGCTCGGTCCATTTCACAACTAAATATCACAACTTTATTGCACTCATACATCAAAATTTCATGATAATCGATCAACTTCAACGATAGCCGATCAATTGACACATTAATCTAGAAGCATGCATCAAACTCTGATAAGTGTTATGAAGTGAACATGTACACATCTGATTATTACCAACAATTATTCACAGCCTTAACAATAGCCCTGAACCGAAAAGATGATCTCAGTATGACTAACATATCTGTCTATGTATCTGGATTAGAGACCTCAAATTTTTCTAATTCTTGACTTAAGTCTTGCAAAAAACCCTCTCATAGTTAGTGATGTCTCTATTCCAGTTAAACTGTTCTATTTCTGTTCTCTTCCTGTTCTGTTCCATGCTATAGAATAGAACAGTTCGCAAATCAGGAAGGAACAGTTTGGAATAGAATAGAGCCGTTTTTGAACCCAAAAGAACAGAATAGAACAGTTTTCAAAAAAGTGGTATAGAGACATCACTACTCATGGTATATGACAAAAAGCTTTGAAATTCTTCGAGACTGGCATAGAGCATCATTTTAAAGAGAAGTTCATTTCTATTTGAAATTAATTATCAATTAAACAGACAGTTGATCTTATCAAAACAAGCAGCCTATCATGAGTTAATACATCACTTCTAAAACTTTCAGGCGTATGTTTCCAACAATGAAACTGAGTTTAAATGGCTGTGATGCAGACGCTCTCTACTACGTTCTGCTCGATGTTGTACCTGTGGACAATAAACGATACCGTTATATCTATAACAAATCGTCATGGCTGACGGCCGGCAAAGCTGAACCGGCACCTCGCAATCGTCTCTATATGCATCCTGATTCACCATTCACTGGAGAACAGGTAACGTCTTTCATTGAATCAGTACGATTCAAAACAATGTCTCGACAAATTTTTGCAGATGCGTGCAAAATTTTTGTAGATTCGATCATTTAATCATAATCATCACAAAATTTTCTTATGTAATTTTGTTATAACATCCCCATGTGCGCTGCCACAAGAATTTGAGCGTTCAATTAAAAGACTTCATTCAATTTATGGTGATTACGAATCAAATATGATAAGGAATATATCGAAAGTAATTCGTTGCGTATTACTTCCAATATGTTCTTATGAACTGGTTAAGTGCTGGTGATAATGCTGACCGTTAATTTAACAATTGCAGTTACTGAAACAAGTGATATCTTTCGAAAAAGCTAAGCTCACGAACAATGAGGTCGACAAAACTGGCCATGTAAGGAAATTTCCTTGTTGAAAGTTACGAATATTTCATTCATCTCGTCTCAAAACCAATCATCCAGAATCAAGAGGATATTCGTTCACGTTCTGAATTGTCAGTGTTGTTTTTCGCAGATCAATTTGCAGCAAATATCTCTCTGATCAATCAGCAAATGATCAGTTTTGATCACCAACTTACTCAATGAGTCCAGATCATTTGACTTTCTGAAAAAATTTCAGTTGATTTTGAACTCAATGCACAAATACCAGCCTCGGATTCACATTGTGAGAAGGCCACGAGAGTATCCCATCGAGCAGGTTCGAATGTTTCTCGTCGTTGAATTATTTGAATTGAATTATCCGATCACTGCATTCAATACATTCCTCACAAAATATCATATCAATTCATCCAAAAATTTTGATTTGTTTTTCTCGAGCAAAATTTTCGAGCAAATTTCCGTATAAATTTCGACAAACTTTATCTAAATTTCGATTTTTCAGACTCACTCAATTGATTTGCACAATGAACACTACAAAACATTTCAATTCACCGAAACACAATTCATGGCCGTCACAGCCTATCAGAATCAGTTGATAACAAAACTGAAAATTGAAAAAAATCCATTCGCAAAAGGATTCCGAGATCCAAGCGGTCGATCGCCCGAGTATGATATGTTAGTTACATTGATGATACCCCAAATCAATCTTGTTTTTGCTTAGTTATCATTCTTAAACTAGTCAAAACTTTGAATCTCACGAACGCCTCATGTCGGATATCGAAAACACAGGTCGTTTCAATTTGCTATTTATGATTTATTTCTGAATTGCCTGACAATATGTTCTTGAAACAAATTTATTGCAATTGATTCTTCATCAACTTTGTAAATTACAGCGATCCAAGGCCTGACAATGGTTCACTGTTGCTACCATCACTGTATTCGCCAGCAATACTGCAACAAGCGTTGTTCAATCAATGTAGGTTTCCCTGAATAAGTTCTTTGTTGGGATAACGCAAGTGCTGTTTGAAATACTCTGTTCGGAAAAATATCTGAGAAAATTGCGCAGATTTTGTTGTTTTGCTACATCTGAATTAAGAGAAGATAATCCATTCAGTAGATATTGAATAAAGGGTAATGATCAAGAACGCTTCCACATATGTTTCTAATTGTGGAAGTAACTTTCGCATGATGATATGAGACCAAAATCTCGATTCGCAGTCTCGATGACTAACCGTGATCACATTGATATCTCGAAGATGGCTTATCTCAAGTTACTAGTTGTGTTCTTTGCATAGAACCGTTGCTTGCTCTGCCCAAGATCAAATGCTTACAATTAGATATGATGGCAATTACATAGCTCCACATTTGTTCTTACCGCATGGAGTTGTGTGCATCAACTGATGAAAAGCTACGAAATTAACGATTTCTTTCCGAAGTTAACATTTCGATGTTACTTTCAATTAAATCGAAGTTCAAATCCGCAAATCGCTTCGATGTTAGCGATCGATCTGATATTCCAGCTTACCGTCTGTGAAAGAAGCAACAAACATAACGGATTAATTGACCAGACTTGGGCCTACTGATGAATCAACAGTGATCCCAGTTACCTTATGAGGTTT